GCCTCCCAATTTTGGGTTTAAAAGCATGTGCCATCATGCCTGGCCCACATCTTTTCTTGATGTTTAGTTTTTTTCTTTTACTTCTTTGTGCATTCTGGATATATTAATGCTTTGACAGATTACAGTTAGTAACGTTTCTTTGCCATCATGTTTGCAGCTGGGCATTTATTTCCTTTGCTTTACAAAAGCCTTTCAACTTCATAAATTTCAATGCATCAAATGTTTTTGTACTTCTTAAGCAACCAGAGTTTCATTAGAAAGTCTTCATCCCTTTGTTTCTATGTTATTGATTTTAGCCCTTAGTTTGATTATTTCCTGCCATCTGGAAAAGCCATTTTTGGGTCAGGTAGAAACCTGGTGCAAGGGGACCTCCCAGGAATCTATAAGGAAGACTCCCTCTTAGACCCCTAGGAATAGCAGATCTGAAATGGCAATTTCCTGTGACCAGACTGGTGATAGCCCAGCTATCACCAGAGAGAGAGGCGTCATCCAGTAACTGATGGTAACAGATGGAGATACCCACAGTCCAATATTAAGTGGAGTTTAAGTGTAGAAAAGGAGAGGAAAGGATTGTAGGCGCCAGAGGGGTCAAGGATTATACAAGAAAACTCTCAGAATCAACTCACCTGGGCTCATGGGAGCTTACAGAGACTGAACTGAAAATCAGGGAGCCTGCACGGGACAGACCTAGGCACTCTGCTTATATGTTACAGTTGTGTAGCTTGATTCCCTTGTGGGACTTCTAAAAGTGGAGGCAGGGGCTGTCTCAGACTCTTTTTTCCCCCCCCATTTCATGGATTTTTTGTTTGTTTTTTCTTCTATTTCTTTAAGGGATTTCCTAGTTTCCTCTTTGAGGTTCTCTATCATCTTCATAAAATAATTTTTCAGGTCTACCTCCTCTGCTACATCTATGTAGTGATTTTTTATCATTTTTTATTTTAATTTTAAATAGCTTGTTTTACATGTCAATCCCAGTTCCCTCTCCCTCCCCTCCTCCCGCACTCCCCTTCCCCGCTACCCTCCCACCCTATTGCCTAATCCTTCCACATAGGGGATATCTAGAGTCTGTCATTTCACTCTGGGTAGGGTCCAGGCACTCCCCTAAGAGTCCAGGCTGAGAGAGCATCCCTCTTTGTGCTATAGGCACACGAAGACTGTTTGTATACCAGGGATAGACACTGATCCACAGCTCAGGGCCCCATAGGTTGCCCAGGCATTCTCGATGACACTCACATTTGGGGGGGTCCAGATCAGTCCCATGCTGGCCTCCCAGCTGTCGGTTTGGGGTCCAAGAGCTCTCCCCTGTTCAGATCAGCTGTCTCTGCTGGTTTTGCCAGCCCATTCTTTGCCAATTTGCTCATCACTCCTCTCTCTCTGTCACTGGGTTCCTTGGGTTCAGTTCAGTGATAAATTGTGTGTTTGCCTCTGCTTCCATCAGTCAAAGGATGAAGGCTCCCGGATGGTTATAGACATCAAGTTCATTATCAGGAATGGGCATTCGAGGTGGTCTCTCCACTATTGCTTAGCTTGCCAATTGGTGTTATCCCTTTAGATCACTCGAAGTCACTCTGGTGCCTGATCTGTATTCGATCCTATGATTCCCTCTTCCCCCTATTCTACCCCCACCCCCTCAACTTCCTGTTCCCCCATGACCAACTCTCTTCCTCTTCACCCCCTCTCCTCTTCCCAGGTCCCACTCCCCCCCAACCCTCGCCGTGTTCCCCATCCATTCAGAGGATCTTGTCTACGGCCATACCACCCTGAACGTGCCCGGTCTCAGACTCTTTTACTGGCTTTTTGGACCCTACCCCTCATGCTTGGTCTTACTGCAACTTGATATACCATGTTTTGTTGCTATCCATGGGAGTCTTGCCTTTTCCCAAACACAAATGGAGAAGGAGTGTATTGGGGTTAGGAACAGAGAGGGGTGGGGGAGGGACTAGGAGGAGAGGAGGGAGGTCAAAATGCAGACAAATACATAAATGAATAGTTGTAAAAAAGAAAGTCTTTACCTATGCTTATGTCTTTTTTTAAAATCTAGAAGCATTTTTATCTAGATTTATTTATTTTTATAGGGAAAGATCTTGCATATAATCTGTTTCTTTGATAATGTTTAATTCTTTCCTTTGTTTTTGTTGGAAATATATCTTACATCCCAGCCACTATATATGTATATACATATATATGTGTATATATGTATATATATATGCAAAACAAAAGTTGGGATTACATATATATACATACCTATATATACATATATATTTATAACAAAAGTTTGGAATTTCAGTCCATTACTTATTTAAATATTCCCTTTTCCTTTCTCCTGTTACTTTTACTGTAGGACTCTTGCCATGCATAGGTTGTTTTGCTTCATGGTATCTCACAAGTGTCTATGATTCTCTTGATTTCTCTTTGCTTATCTCTTTGTTTCTCAGATTGTACAATCTATGTTTTCTCTCCAAGTATTGATTTAGTATTCATTATTTATTATCATGGCACATAGCAAATACTAAATAATTGCTAACTGAAGCAAAGCTCTGAAAGCCCAGTCACCAGGTATGTCTTTAGGATGATTTTACAAAGGCCTTCACCTCTGGTTTAGTGCCTTACTTCATCGAACTTTTGAATTTGAAACTCATGTATATTTGATTTATTTGATTCTTTATAGTGTTAACATCATTCCACTTTGTAATCATGCCCATCTACTCAATGAGCTTCAGACGCTTTCTCGAGTTTGTGCAATAGAGGTGATGCTTTGTCTATATCTGAGCAGTCCTGTGGCATTCTCTCTGACCAGCTCTGGGCCAGTTAAAAAGATGCCTGCACATCTTTCATCTAATAAACTAAGGTACTAATGTAAGATCAGTGTGGTGTCTGCATGTTGGGTCTTCAGAGATTAAATGTGGGTATGCCTGTCAAATCCACACTATATAATTTCAATGGATTTTCTTTCAAGTTTATTTTTTTCTGTCTATTTAACTGTGCAATTGAATCCTCACAGGGAACATCTCATTTCTGGGTTCTGTTTTCATGTTTTGCATTTGTATAATTCATCAGTTTTGAAAAGTTCTCAGCTATTATCTCCTAAAGCAGTATTTTTCATCCTTATCATGTTCTACAGAAACTCTTGTTCTGCTTAGCATTTATTATACTCACTCACTTTCTTCTCCACGTTAATTAACCACCCTTTTGTGTATTTTTGTATCTCTGGCTGCATGTGATCCCTTTTCAGTCTTCAGTTCATTGTAGTTTTCATTTCTAGAAGTTCTGTTTTGTTCTCTTTATGTCTACCTTTGCTTTCAGTGTTATATTGGTTCACATTTGTTCTAGTTTGCTTTCTGTTGCTGTGATGAAAACACTCTGACCAGAAGCAACTTGGGGAGGAAAGGGTTCATTTGGCTTTCTTGTCTCAGTCCGGTCCATCATGGAGGATAGTTAGGACAGGAACTCAAGGCAGGAAGTTGGGGATAAGAGCTGAAGCAAAGATCATTTGTAGGGTTTCTGGTTACTGGCCTGTTCTTCATGGGTTCCTTCGTTTGTCTTTTTAAACAACTCTGGACCATCTGCTCAGATGTGGCAAGGCCACAGTGGTCTGGACCCTCCCACATCAATCAGTAAGAGTATACTCCACAGACTTGCCAGTTTTATTGGAGCATTTTCTCAATCAAGATTCCCTCTTTCCAGATGACCCTGGCTTGGGTCAAGCTGATAGAAAGTAACCATAACAGCATTTTACAAAAAGTCGTTTAATTTTTTTCTCTAAAGATTTATATTTATGTTATTTAATTCATTATTGTAGTACTTAAAGTCTTTTGTAGTAAAATTTATTCTGTCCTGAACTATTGTAGCAATATTTGATGTTAGATAATTTGGATTCATGCTCAGTTTTCATATATATATTGCCTTATCTGATGGGAGTACTTTCAGCATTTTCCTGTGGAAATAATAACCTATTTGCTTTTCCGCTACACCTCACAGGGAAATAATGCAATGTCAATATATGCAATAGAAATATATTTCTAAATATAAGAAATACTAATTTCCAAAGTCTGCTTCTCATGAGTTAAATATGGGGATGTGATCCTGTATTATTAGCTGTTATGATAATCACTATTATTAACTTTTAGATACATTTTACTGACTCCTTTATCCCAGTCTTCCCAGATGCAATGATACAGGGAGGAAATGCAGTTTGCTCTTCTGTATGAGTCTACATTGATTTCAGGCACCCAGGGCTTTTTGCATGCACTGACAACATAGGCTGATTGGAACTTGGGATGTTTCTGCAAATACTACTGGATTGCATTGTAATTATACTACTGTGTGCATGGATTCTAACAATGTTTTTAGAGTCTAATTGCTGATTTAGACCCATGGAACCTGGGCCAAGAGTGAAATCACAGCACTTTCTGACTCAGGTATTTCTATTTCCTTTGGCTTTCATGAATATTCATCCGTTCAAGAAATCAAGTTAAGCTGGGCCGTGGTGGTGCACGCCTTTAACCCCAGCACTCGAGAGGCAGAGGAGGGTACATTTCTGAGAGTTTGAGGCCAGCCTGGTATACAGATCAATCAGGCCGCAAAGAAAAACCTTGTCAGGAAAAATAAAAAAACAAAACAAAACAAAAAAACAAGCCCCATTTTTAAACTTGAAAATCTAGTTTGGTATAGTGGCTCATAGCTCTAATCCCAGCATTTAGGAGGGTGAGATGGGAAGGTGTCTGGGTTTTTGAGGTAATTGGACTACATAATGAATTCTAGAGTAGACAGGACTACAGAATGAAACTTGTCTCATAAAACAACAACAACAACAACAGCAAAACCAAACAACAAAAAAAGCAAAACCTAAGTATGACTATAGTGTGTAATTACTTTTCCATGTATCTGTTTCTTCATATTTCACAGATTCCATTGAAATTTACATATAGATTCTATGTGATAATATTTGACAAACTGAAAATATACAGGAGAATTGGACCTATTAATTTGAGGCTGTGTTAGGCCACTGTGAGAAGGGAAATGACCAGTATAAAGAATAAATCTTATTTCACACACACATGTTTTCAAAAATGGCTATGGAGAGGAGCTATTGCTCTTCTCTACCAGAAGGCCCAAGTCTTTTCCTGAGTCTCCTCATGGCTGACTTCATCTCCTGGTTCCTCAGAGTGTAGATCAAGGGGTTGAGCAGAGGGGAGATGACTGTGAAGGTGACAGAGATGGCTTTATCTGTGGGGAGGGCAGTGAATGGTCTGGCATAGACGTAGATACAGGGCACAAAGTGCAGGGTGACCACAGTGATGTGGGAGGTGCAGGTGGAGATGGCTTTCCTCTTGCCCTCACCTGTGTGTGACCTCAGCATCATCAGAATGACTGTGTATGACACCACCAACAACATAAACCACAGAGTAGCAACCAAGCCATTATTGGAAATCATCAGGAGCTCCAGGACAAAGATGTCTGTGCATGCAAGTTTGATGACCTGCGGGACATCACAGTAGAAAGTGTCAAGAACATTGGGTCCACAAAACGGAAGTGTCAGCAAGAGAGAGATCTGCACGATGGAGTGGACAAAGCCTCCTGCCCAGGAGGCCACTATTAACCCAATGCAACGGCCTCTGCTCATGATGGTCACATAGTGCAGGGGCTTAGAGATGGCCACATATCGATCTAGAGCCATCACTGAGAGAGAAAACACATCCACTCCTCCAATAAGGTGAAAGAAAAACATCTGAGTGAGACAGCCATTGAAAGAGATGGTTTTTCTGTGTGAGAGAAGGTCCACAAGGACCTTGGGTGCAGTGATGGAGGAAAAGCAGATGTCAGCAATAGACAAATTCCTGAGCAAGAAATACATGGGGGTGTGAAGGCGAGACTCACAGGTCACGGTGACCATGATGAGAAGATTCCCCAGTAGAGTTGTCACATAGACCAGGAGAAGAAAAAGAAACAGCAACACACTCAATTCTTGACTCTGTGTCAGGCCAAGGAAAATAAGTTCTTTGACTCTGGTGTAGTTTTCCATTTCCATTAAATTACTGCCTTTCTGGGCTGGTTAGTTTCAAGACTCTGGATGTTTATCTTGTCTTTCTAACCTCCTAGGATGAAACTGAGTTCTTCTGTTTTTCCATAGTGCTTAAAAGTAGTTGTGTTTTCCACATTTAAATATTGTAATCAATTTGGTGATTAAATCAAATTGCCACTTGCAAAATGAACCATTACTTATTTCCCTACGGAATAATGTTAGGATAGTAAATATAGTACGTAGTGACACTTAAGCACCATATTTTAAAAAGGAAACATTAATGAGATACTGTTTAATCTTTATCAGTTTTTTCTGCTTTAATAATTTCTATTCAAATGCAGATGAGGAGGAATGGATGGGCAGGGGTAGAAGAGAGGTAGGAGAGGGCATGGGAGGGAAAAAGGGAGGAGAAATTGTTGTAGGTATGTAACATAAATGAAAAAGATTCAATTAAAGAAAAAGAAAATCACTACCCAACACTGAGGTACTTATCTACCATCTTGAGCACAGGAAACTATTTCATTTAAATGGATTAAACACAAGGACAAAATTAAAAGTAAAAAAAAATTCTATTCAAGTCTCTTGGTCAGTTATCTTAGTTTGGTAGTCACAGGTTGACTTTTTAAGAACATGAAATGGAAGTACCATCATCAGGTTCTTGTGTTTAACTGTCACCATTTTGTTAACATTGTTATAAATTTTCTACATTGTACAGATCACATTTTGACAAAGGACAGGTGGAAGTTTTGGACATTTGAAACATGACTTTTTTCCCATAAAAAGGGAACGGTACTTGTAGAGAAGGGGGAAAAGCATAGACACTGTACTAGGACAGTGTAGCACTGGATTTACTCCTCCATGTTCTGCCACTGATTTGCTGAATGATAGGGGTTCTGAATTATCAGCTGTGGACTCTATGGACCATATTGTTCTGAGCAATCAGAGAGAAAGAGGAAGCTGGGTCAAGGGGAGACTCACATGAAAGGCCAGAGGACTGAAGAAGGATGTAGCTTCCTGCATCTTACTGTGGGTTCCCCATTTCAGCTTCTACCAAAGGAACGGTGTCACCTGGAGAACTACTTCACTGTCCTATTGCAATCCTCATTCTCCTCTCCTGTCTGCATCATCAACATATCCACTTTTAGCTTGCTGAGGAAGAGCAGTTGTGGAGTCAGGGTTTCTTGACAGTCTTCTCATCTCAAAGGCAGAGGTGTCTTGTGAATGACTCTCTTGTGTGTTCCTATGAAGAAGGGAATTCAATTATTTTTTAGTAGTTGAAGAAAGAGAGGTGAAATAATTTCCCCAAACTCAACACATTGTTACACTGTGAAACTGAAAATCAGTATGACTATGTTCATTTCCAAAGCCATTTGATGTCGTACAATAGTAATTATACAAGAATTCAGCAGAATTGTGTTATTTTTTAATTCAATTTTAGAGTTAAGGTTGCAGAAAAAGTCTCAAATGACTTATCTGTTTAAACAGTTGTAAAGTTTCCAGATAAATCTGGATCAAAACAAAAACAATCTAGTGTATTACACATCTGCAGGAGTTCCCATAAGGCTGTACAGCCAGGCCCATGTTCAGAAAATGGAGTCAGTCTTCCTCGGGTTACATTCAGTCGCATTCCTCACACTGAGTTTAGGAATTTCAGAGGTATACATTTAGTCCTTCATTCCTTTCTCACACATTTGGTGGTGCTTGCAGCGCTGTTGGGGTTGGACTTACAACAGTGACACAAGTGCAGTGAAGGTTTTACTTTGGAGAAATGTTCAATCTGGTGGAAATGAAAGTATTTCAGTGATTGTATATTCAACATGGGAACCACAGCAGCGTTCTATCTAGGGCTGGTATGGGGAGGGTTCCTAGAGAGTATGAAGATTGTCACTGTCTGGAAGAATAACAGATGTGGAAAAATAACAACAGTCAGTGGTGAAATGACACAGCCACACAGAGAACACAAAACAGCAGTGCAGTCTCTCAGTGTAGGGGAGTATGGAGTGAAAGGACTTTTCTAGGTAACAGATGATCCCTTGCCCATTGCCTCGTTAGTACATGCTTCATTGTTGCATTATGTGGTTCTTAGGTACTGTTTGACAAATGAATGAGTGATTTAAGCCCTACTATCTCATAAGTCTGTATTTCATGCAAGCAGGCTTGCATAATTAAGAAAAGATAGAAACAGAATAGAGACAGACTCAATGTCCCTCCCCTCCAACTTCAGGCTACATAGTTTTACATATTGCCTTACAGTGGCGTTTGAAAACATCTGGCTGAAGAAGCTCGTTTGACAGAAACTTCTTATGCCAGTTTTGATATGTAGCAGTTACACAGTAAGCAATGGAAGGACTCTCTCCAAGATGATTTTATGTAGTGTGCCACAATTCTACAACCTTTCAAACACACCCGCATTTCCAATATTTGATACCCACCTCTGTTGTGTTTGTCAGTGAGATGATCATCTTTGGTCTGAAATATCTGAAATCCCTGGAAAATATTCAGAGTCAACTTGTTTAAGCATAATCAATGACAACATTTGAGTTTCAACACGCACAACCTTAATGCTAGATATCTGTTAAATGTCTTCACTCATTGTCTTTGATCCTAAAATAATATGCTATTTGGTACAGCATGCAACAACATTAATTCTTGAAAAAATGTGCTACTGAAGATTTCACTCTCCTTGCTCCATTTTCAGGAGAAAGACAGCAAACTCAAGGATTTGCCTATTTAAGGTTCTTGGACTTGGACAGTGTTCCTGTCTTATGCTCAAATCCCTTAACCTCAGACTTAATGTAAGAATGACAAAGGGAATATTATTGGACAGGGAAGCAGCTGTAACTGATTCTAGTTTTGTTGATGCAGTTTCAATGGGATTCATTAAAATGCTGTCAAAACTTGCATGTGCGCGCATATGCACCTAACACATTTTGGCCGGTGTACAAATTCCTTAGAGGCCACAGAAGAGACTATTTGATTGTATATTCAACATTTTGTACTGGGAACCTGTGTTGTGTCCAGATCCCTTAGTCTCAGGCCTATTATGAGAGCTAGGCAGAGAGTAACTTTTAGGCAAGGATGTGGGATTGAAGAGGCTAGTTTCACTGGTAGTGATGAAATTTCAGTGATAATTACTAAATTGTTGCTGACAGATACACTGATGTGTAAAGAAACAGTGACCTGTTATGGAAAAAAAGCCACTATGTAGTCCGTATCCAAGTTATCTAATGGTAGCAGAGCAATCAGATCCCCTAATTCTCAGTCTATTCTGCTCTGTTATAGCATGCCAAAACACAGATCTAAAGTATTTCTGGAGTCCTTTGTCATGTTTTCAAAAGCATGAAAGATGTATATTTTTATATATATCTCATTGCAGTATAGAAACAAGCTGTGAAGTATCGAGAAAGACTGGACATCTAGTGGTCTCTAACTCTTCATCAAGCGATAAACAGTAGAGGCTCTTGAATCTGTTGCTATTTCTAGGGCCATGAACTCTGTCCCATCAAAGTGATAGAGGGTTAAATGAATGCTTAGTTTGACTTTTTTCTTTCTTTCCCAGACATTATCTATCGTATTTCATGGAAAAGCACCTTATATGAAGAAAGGAGTAGGATCAACACAGGGAGAAGAGACCAGGGTACCTCTTTGTCAAAGACATTTATGGTTTCACAAATTAAGTATAATATGATAGTAAGAGGAGCCTTTAGGCCATGCAATACATCTTGTTGAAGAAGAATTTGAATAAGCATGTCAATATATTTTGTTATGTAAAAATGGAATTTGAAGATAAAAATAAAATTGGAACAAGAATAAATAAATGAACATGAAGCAGGAATTGCCATTTAACCAAGAAAAGAATTAGCCCAAAAAACTCCGCAAGGTCACTCCTAGAGCTGATAAACACCTTCAGCAATGTGACAGGATACAAGGTAAACTCAAAAAAATCAGTGGCCCTATTATATACAGATGATGAAGTGACTGAGAAAGAAATCAGAGAAACATCACCTTTTACAATAGCCAAAAACAGCATCAAATATCTGGGGATAATGTTAACCAAGGAAGTGAAAGACCTGTATATCAAGAACTTTGTGTCTTTGAAGAAAGAAATCAAAGAAGATACCAGAAAATGGAAAGATCTCCCATGCTCTTGGATTGGTAGGATCAACATAATAAAAATGGCAATCTTGCCAAAAGCAGTCTATAGATTCAATGCAATCCCTATCAAAATTCCATCACAATTCTTCAAGGACCTGGAAAGAACATTAATCAACTTTATATGGAAAAACAAAAGGCCCAGGATAGCCAAAACATCCCTGTACAATAAAGGAACTTCAGGAGGCATCACCATACCTGACTTCAAGCTCTATTATAGAGCTATAGTCCTGAAAACAGCTTGGTACTGGCACAAAAATAGGCAGGTAGACCAATGGAACCGAATCGAAAGCCCTAATTTTAACCCACACACCTATGAACACCTGATTTTTGACAAAGAAGCTAAAACTGTACAGTGGAAAAAGAAAGCATCTTCAACAAATGGTGCTGGCATAACTGGGTACTGGTATGCAGAAGACTGCAGATAGATCCATGTTTATCGCCTTGTACAAAACTTAAGTCCAAATGGATCAAAGATCTCAACATACATCCAGCCACACTGAAACTTTTAGAAGAGAAAGTGGGAGATACTCTTCAACGAGTTGGTACAGGAGACCACTTCCTAAACATAACACCAGTGGCACAGGCACTGAGATCAACAATTAACAAATGGGACCTTCTGAAACTAAAAAGCTTCTGTAAGGCAAAGGACACAATCAAAAAGACAAAAAGGCAGGCCACAGAATGGGAAAAGATATTCACTAACCCTACATCTGACAGAGGGCTAATCTCCAAAATTTACAAAGAACTCAAGAAACAAGTCTCCAAAACACCAAAGGATCCACTTGAAAGGTGGGGTACAGAGCTAAATAGAGAATTCTCAGTAGAGGAGGCTAAAATGGCCAAGAGACACTTAAGAAAGTGCTCAACATCCTTAGCCATCAGGGAA